ATCATCATTTTGCCTCCCTTATTTGTATTAATTTGTTCAGGCAAGGATTATCAATGGATACAGAACTACTAGGTGACAGGTTGTTGAAAGAAATAGTCACACCACCTCAAAGTTATCACACCACAAATTACTTTCTACTTACAAAGAAGAAAATAATTTTACCACATAGAGATCTGCTTTGAGTTATTATTATAATGAATACCCAAGGCAAATTAATTTATACAGGTAAAAGTTTTATTTTGTTTCACAATTCTTGATGTCATAGTCCAAAATTGGACAGCCCCATTGTTTCAGGCCTCTCAGGAGGGCAGTACCATGGTAGGAGCAAGTAGTGGAAAAAACCACTTTCATCATCAGCAAGGAAACAGAGAGACTCAGACTGGGATCCCATAATCCATGGCAGGGGCACACCCCAATCTGTAAACTTAGTAACCCCTGACCTGATGCAGTGAGAAACATCACCACATCACCTCTGGTTGTATTACTGCCAAGAATGAGGAGACAATCTGACAAATCAGTGTATGCAGTATTCAGTAAGATAGCTGACCTTCACTCTTTAAAAAGCCACAGCAGGAGTGTGCAGGTGGATGGCTAGGGGTCTGTGTTGATGTATGTGTGGCACCCATCTGGCCCTTCCTCTCATCTAAGCTCTGCCCAACTGTGCCATAATGAAAGGTCACTGATAGGAAAAACAGAAGAAGGAGGGAGATTTGTGTAGTTTAAAATAAACTAAGTGGGCTGAGGATGTAGCTCACTGGCAGAGATCTTGCCTAGCATAGACCTAGGTTTGACCCAGAGAGGGAGAGGGGAAGGGCGAAGGGAGGGGGAGAGGAAGAGGGAGAGGAGAGGGAGAGAGGCCTGAATATTTTTTTAAGTTCATTAAAGAAATTTGGGGGCCAGGCACAGTAGCTCATATCTATAATCCCAAAGGTGGAAATTGGAAGGATTGCAGTTTGAAGCCAGCCTGGATAAAAAGTTAGCAAGAGCCCATTCTCAACAATTAAGCCAGTATGATAGTTCATTCTGTAATCCCAGCTACACAGGAGTTGTCAGGATTGTGGTCTGAGACCAGTCCCAGGCACAAACATGAGATCCTATTCAAAAATAGCTAAATCAAAAAGCTGGGGACTAGGGTGTAACTCAAGTGGCCACACAGAGCACCTGCCTTACCAAGCATGAGGCCCTGAGTTCAAACCCCAGTACCACCAAAAGAAAAAAAAATATGGGGAGCAAGTGGAAAAACCAAATATGACCTATACTTTGGATATTGTACTACTGTGTCCTGGGGATGAAAGTGATCTTATTCTTAGGAGATGAGAAGTATTTAGGGGTGAAGTCAAAATGTCTGTAACTTTCAAATGGTTTTACAAAACACAGACATACGGCAACTATAGTGCAATGTTAAGTATTGTGCAGCTAAGTGAAGGGGGCTAATTGTAATATTCATTAAATTTCCCTGTAGGTTTTAAGTTTTCAAGATAAAAGGTGGATTTTTTAATGAAAATCTTTTGGTTAATAAAATATGAGTCTGGATCTTAAGAGATCATCTAATTCAGTTACCCATTTTACAAATGCGGAAACTGAGGCCCAGGGGCCTCATAAGAAGGGGCAGCTTCTTATGGAAGGAACATAAAGCACATGAACCATTAACTATTCTCCCTATCACTGTCACCCACTGGGAAAACAAGGTACAGTATGTGGAAGAGGGTAAGGGGATGAAGAGGACTTAGGGAAGGACTCTCCATCAGTGGAGGCACCTTATGGGTCACACACAGCCACAGCCCAGATGGGAAGAAACTGGGCCCGAGACCCAAGGCACTGCCCACCTGAATTCCTGCTTCTCTTCTTTAATTTCTCTTCTTTATTATCTTTCTCTAACCTATCCTTGCCACTACTTTTTACTTTTCTATTGTATTGTCACTTGATCATTTTGCTTTCTCCACTATGAATGTGACATCATGGAAATAATATGAATTTTGGAACCACAGGAAACCTGATTTAAAATCCTGCCCTTCCCATTAGCTGTACAAACCTGGAATGCCACTTAAACATATTAAATTTTGATAAAAAAAAAGTTTTTCCATCCTGTTTGAATGAATTCATGGGCCATTTAATGAGACCATGTATTCATTCTTAAGTGTTTATTGATCTTTTACCAAAAGCCAGACATTGTTGTGGGTGCTGGGATGATGGTTCTGAATTCTTTACATGACTTGATTTTGGTCACGATCCCCATTTCACAAATGAGAAAACTGAGGTATGGAGTTTAGCATCTTGCTGAAAAAGCTGGAAATTTTCATTTTATTTTGAGAGTCTAAGTCCTTACCACACACACAGATGAAAACAAAACCCAGGCTTTTGTAGGACTTTCATTCCAGAGGAAAGCAAAATCTGAAAAGCCACTGGGACAGTTTTGTGATCAACAAATACTAGTTTCTCCTTCTGTTCCCCAATTTTATGGCTAAAAAGGAGAATCTCATAAAATAAAGAGGAAGAGAAGTGAAGTGAGCCAAGAGTTACCCAGTTTCAGCTCCTTCCCTAACTCTTTCCTAACCCACAGCAACACACACACACACACACACACACACACACTCCCTATTAATCCTTAAGTCAGAGATTTTCAAACTTGGGCCTCACCTCAGAACTACCTAGAGGTGAAAAATGTAGGTAAAGCACTTCATAGTTATAAAGTTCAAAACAAGAAACACTGAAGAACACAAATGTAAGAGAATTTGTTTGTAGATATGAACAAAGAAACGATTTAAAACATGGTAACAAAAAACAAAGAAAAAACTGATAAATCTGAATACATTGGAATTAAAACTTAACTTTCAGTAAAGACCCCAATGTTCAACTTACAACTCTTTGACTTTATTTATATTTTGGCATACTGGGGTTTGAACTCAGGATCTCACACTTGCTAGGCAGGTGCTCTACCAGTTGAGCCACTACACCAGCATTCTTTGACTTCATGATTTTGCAAAAGTAATATGCATTCGGTAGAAAGCACACTTCTCTTTTGAATTTTTTATCTTTTCCTGGGCTAACAATAAGGGATATGATGCTGGACAGCAGGGCAGGTCTCAGCTCCCAGTCAGCCAAGAGATCACAGGGTGTATCCATAGTATCTATCGTACACTTGCTAAACTATGATGATTGGTGGGTTAGGTGTATTGAATTAACTTTTTACTTACAGCTGCAATTACAATGAGCTTTTCAGGATGCAATCTCCCTTCTTAAATTGAGGAGCACCTATAGTATGGTGTTCAGTTTTATATGTCTACTTGGGTAGGCTACAATTTCCCACTATTCACAGGTGTTCCTGTGAAGATGTTTTGAAGATGTAATTAAAGCTCACAGGTAGTGACTTTAGGAAAGAGGATTATTCTAGAAAATAAAAGTGGCCCTGATTTAATCTGTTGAAAGGCCTTAAAAGCAGAATAGAGATTTCATGAAGAAGCCCAGCCTGCCCTTACAGATTCTGGTCTTGGCTAACCAATCTCAATTGCATAAGCCAAATCCTTGTGATGACTCTGTTAATATATATCTCCTAACCAGGGGCCAGTGGCTCACACCGTAATCCTAGCTACTTGGGAGGCTGAGGTTCAGGTGGATTGCGGTTCGAGGCCAGACTGGTTAGATAGTTCAAGAGACACCCCCCATCTTCAAAATGACCGGAGTAAAATGTACTGGAGGTATGGCTCAAGTGGGTAGAGTACCTGCTTTGCAAGTGCAAAGCCCTGAGTTCAAACCCATCTCATCAAAAAATATAAAAATAATATGTATATATATATATATATATATATATATATATATGGATTCTCCATTTTATTAGTGTATATTAATTGTAAAAAAATAATAGATTTCATTCATACACATACTTTGATCATATTCACACCTCCTACTACCCTCACTTATCCACCCCATTCCCCTAATCCCTTTCATTTTCCCAACTAGGCCCCTTTCTACTTTCATTATTTTGTTGCTTTTTCTAGATTCCACATAGAAAACATGCAATACTTATTTTACTTAACATAAGTTTTAGTTCCATCCATTTTCCTACAAATGACATAACTTCATTCTTCTTTATGGCTGAATAAATACTCCACTGTGCATATACATCACATTTTGTTTCTCTAGTCATCCATTGAAGAGCCCCTAGCCTGATTCCGTAACTTGGCTATTGTAAATAGTGTTGCTATTAACATGGGTGTGCTGACTTGATTCCTTCAGGTATATACCCAGGAATGGAATAGCTAGATCATATGGTAGCTCCACTTTTAGTTTTTTGAGGACCCATCATACTGCTTTCCATAGTGGCTATCCTAACGTACACTGCCAGCAACAGTGTATATGGGTTCCTCCTCGCCCCATGACCAGAACATTGACAATGGCTGTCTTTGCTTCTCATGATGCCCTATACTCTCCACACTTTCTGCAATGAGCTTCCTCAGTCAGAAAAACCACGCACGTTCTTTTTTGTTTATTAAACACAACAGGTATTTTCAAGACTGCTGCAGTCAGTCCCAAACAGTCAAGAAAACCAAAGACGTAAATTCTAAAGCTAAAATGTAATTCAAGATTACATTTTTCCCTGATCCTAGCATATACATTGTAAATAAGAAATGAAAGGAAAAAACTCAATTGACAACCATTATTATAAATACACACAAAAAACACTAGAGATACCTGCAAAAATTATAATGAGGATTAATTTTGGTTAGTAGAATTATATGGCTTTTTAAATTTCTTTTTAGTTTAAAAATGTTTATTACATGTTCTACAATGAATATCTATTACTTTCATAATTTAAAAAAAAAGTGTTTGCTATCTTTCTAAGACAATCACCAAGCAAATAATAGCACATCTATACACTGGATTATCAACAGTCATTTTAAAAATGTTATATAAGAGTATTTAACAATATGAAAAAAATGTTATACATTATTAGCTGACCATACTATAAAACAGTATGTTCAGAATGATCCCAATGCTTTGTTTAAAAACAAACAAAATGCCTATAGATACATATAAAACACCTTGGTAAGAAATACATCAAAACATTATTAGTATTTTACTTTAGGTGGTAATATTAGATTAGGTTTTGGCATCTGCATTTGTTTTATTCTACTAAATATGAATATTTTTCCAATATGCAAAAAAAGCTTTTTTAAAAATCCCAAAAAGTTACCTTGTTAAATAGACACACAGCAACAAGCAGGAGCACTGAAAGATCATTTAACAAGCTTTCCATTCCATCCAGCTCTAAGATTTGGGTCAATAAGATGGTTGTCTTTCAATATCAGGAGGACAGTCAGCATAAATCAATCCTCTGTCTCAGATGGCATAATGCTGGAGTGGAAGGAACACTGACTCCAGAAATAGAGGCTATCACTCCTGACAGGGCAGCAGGCATCATCTGGAACCTTAGTTTTTGTATTTTACAAGTGCTGGGGATCAAATTTAGAGCCCTCTACATGCTAGGCAAGTGCTCTACCACTAAGCTGTATCCCCAACTCTGCCTAGAACCTTTAAACAAGACCCTGGTGAAGAAGAACATCTAGAGAAAAAATAATGTAACTGCTTTGTAGGGCTACAGATCTGATTAAAAGTAAATATAATTTACAATCATCTGATTACATTGATTACATTGTACATAACACACTAACTAGGGAATGCTACTCTCAGACCTTGCAGAGACCTCTGATGTCATCAGAAGACAATTCCAGGACACTGCCTTTAGGATGCTGTGTAAATATTGACTGAAAACAGTAACAGAAATGTCATACTAGAGAATCTCAAGTAAAGGAGTCAAAAGCCTGGCTTCCTGTTTATATAATTTTAAGTCACTTTGTTTGCTAGCTGCAAGGTGATTCAGCATTCTGATTTAATCTAAGCATTTCTTGACTTTCCACATATTAAAAGGGACTACAAAGAACAGCTGAAAAGCTAGTAGATACAGGAAGGAACAAAAATAAACACAGACATGTGTCTTCCAGACTAAACAATGAGAAATCTATGCAACTAGATTATCAGTTCAATCTATTTCCAGATCGCTGTCCTCACTGTGACAGGTGGCAGAGTTACGCACAGATGTCAGCACCAAGACTTCCTTTTCTGGAAGTAATCCAAACTCCTGTAGAAAAGCTTCCAAGTCCACAGCAAAGAAATCCTCTCCCAGCTGGTCAGTGACACGAACAAAATTGCCAATCAATTCGCCCCCCTTGTAGATAAGCAGGGCAGGAAGGGCATTTCGGGTAAACCGACTGCTGGCCCCAATAACTGAGCTCTTCACCCTGCAGAATTTGACAGCTGGATACTCTGTGGCAAGGCAGATCATGCAGCCATTCATGGCTTCAGTCCCCGGAATGCCATCCTCATAAATATGGACCATGATGAGGGTGCTTCTCTGTTCTTTATCAATCATATCTAAAAAACCCTTCTCCACTGGAGATTTCAAAAACCCGCCTGAATTGGGGCCCCTTATGTAACTGCTGCCGCATTTCTTCCATCCTCTGCTTCCGGTACTGCTGCAGAAACTCTTCATCGTCCTGGTCCTCATTCATCATAGCAAACTCCTTTAGATTCATCTGCAGGAGGGCCAGCAGAGGTGAACACAAAGACACATACCGAACACTTGTGACAAATGTCAATGTGCGCCATGTGTTTATAAGACATGAGGCATCACACTAAACACCGTATGTGCATTGTACCTCACAGCTTTTATCTATTCTATCTATCTGTCTTATCTATCTATCTATCCATCCATCCATGCATCCATCCATCCATCCATTTCTGAGACAAGTTCTCACTATGTGGCCCCATCTGGTCACAAACTCCTGAACTCAAGTATCCTCCAGATCAAGTAGCTGGGACCATATGGCCCTCACTACAGTGCCTGGCTCTCACTGATACCTCATGATAACCCATAAGGAAAGGACTTCAATAACCCCCATTTTACAACTGGGGATTTTTACCCTAAGATTTTACATTGTTTGCACAAGTTCATACAAATTTTAAGTATAACAAAAGGCCTCAAACTAGATTTTAAACACCAAAACTAGATTTTAATCACCCAATATGATTTTAAACACTCATATTGCCTCCCAATCCAAATAAGCAGTATTAGATTAATATTACTTCATTGATCTATTTTCTTTTTGTTAGTTTTGATAAGGTATTATTTTATTCACTAGGTGTTTGTTTGTTGTTGTTATTGAAAAGATCACAAGACATTAAGGAACTTCAAAAACAGCACTCACAGGCTGGGGATGTAGCTCAATGATGGAGCACTTGCCTGGCATGTGCAAGGCCCACAGTTCAATCCCCAATACCAGATGATAGAACACTCATAATCCCTGCGACGCCCCTGCAACACACACACACATAGAGTCACATACAATCTCTAAAAACTTATTTTATTTTTTTCTGAGATAGGGTCTTGCTATGTAGCCCAAGCTGGTCTGGACCTTGTCAAGGGCCAGGCTGTTCTCAAACTCACGATCCTGCCTCAGCCTCCTGAATGCTATGATTATAAGCATGTACCGCTATTTTTCTTTTTATTACTAGTCAACATGCTGGAGTAGTTTTTGCTTATATAATAGCAGCAGCTGAGAATGTACCATTAACCTGCTTTTGCCTCTTAGCTAATGTTAATAATAATATATAAGTATTTCCTCATATTTCCAAGTACTTTTATAAAATGTTATGTCATATTTTACTTGACCACTCTCCTATTTCTGGCACTTCTAGTTCTGTTCTACTTCAGGCAACCCAGCAAGACAGAGCAAGCCTCTCTCAAGTCTGATCCATGTGGTCATGTGACTTTTACTTCATTCTGGTCTTTCCCCTCAATACCAGGAAGCAGCTACAAGCAGTAGGTACCCTGCCCTGCAGTCAGTTTACATGACAAAGATGTCTTCTTTCTCCTGCCCTGGAGTAGCAAGACATCTCTGCTTCTGTTATAAATCTTCACTCTGCCTAAATTTACACAGATGAGTGTGGGAACTGGAACCACACAGATCAGAACACTAGATCATTACTGTGTCATAAGTAACCAGCACCATTCAGCATTCACTGTTTTACTTATTACTAATCTTCCCATCAAATAACTCTCCACTCTATCCAGGCCTACCAGAGTGACTCCATCTGACCTGTTACAAGTCTTTCCCCAACTGTGCCATGAAATCATCCTCCCAGCCAAGGTAAAGGACTCTTGGCTTAATGTTTTTATCTGCTCCCTGATCCTGACTGATATTTTAGCTTTGAGCCATAGCTAACTGATCTCAGGTACTCCTATACATTTTTCCACAGCATGGGGATAAGAGTCCTTATAATATTGAGAAAGAAAGGGGGTGCCAGGGACCTGGTTCCAAGTATCTTATAAAGTATCAATTTGCTTCTACTGTAATGCTGCTACAGACTAAATCCTCATGAATGGGCTTCAGATGAAACAGGGCAACATTGTGAAAAGACCAGGAAAATCTGAGTGAGAATTTTAGCTCCAACTAGCATTAAGGGATGAACTTCATTTTTCCTTCTAATCATCACTCTCATCATCTATAAACTTGGGATGACACCACCCCCTTCCGAGGATTATTTCTGGCCTAAAACAAGACTTCAATAAAAGACAGGAAACTAACATTCATTCAACACCTTCATTAGGCCAGTGCCTTTGTTGGGCATTTTATCCACACAGTCCTGGGGGTAGGTGTTACTGATCTCATTTAACCAATGAAAAGCCAGAGATTTTCCAACAATTGCAGAGTTGAGATCAAACTTGGATGTGTCTGAATTATGACGGATCTCTACTTTGCTCTGCACTTCTCAGAGGCCGAATCCAACCACCTCCACCTCCTGAATCATTAAGGCCAATTCTAGTAGCCAGGGCAGCTTCTGAGAAAAGCCTGGGTGCTGCCAATTACCTTCCCCCACTGATCTTCTCCTGGAGGTTGTTCTGTTTCTGTTGTTCCTCCTCTTCATCTAGATGAGACCTGCAGGTCATAGACAGCTTCTTGATCAGCCTCTCCATCTCTCGGCACTGCTCCTCCCTCTGCTCTGTCTCCAATTGTTTGAAGCGGCGCCAGTCATTGATAACACCTTTGGGACCTGAGCAGAGTAAACATGGATGTGACCAAGAACAGGCAAGGAATTGTGGAGCAGTTCACATCTGTAGGAGCTCACATCAGTCTGAAGCTTGCTCTATCTACTGCATGGCTAGTGTAGAGCCTCTGTATACTCTGCCACAGGGGCAGAGTGGTCTACACACAATGAAGCACACTGCAGTCAGCACAGTTTGCAGTAATTAAAAGGTCAAGCTAAGGTCCAACATCAGGAAATTAGTTTAATAAATTATAATTCATTTACTCAAAGGAAAATAAGGAACATTTGGGGAAAATGAGAAGTTCTATGTTTCTTGTCATGAAAGAGACTTCAAATATATTAGGTTAAAAAAAATAACAAACCAGGCACAGCAGCACAGGTCAGTAGTCCCACCTACTAGGAAGGATAGGAAGGATTGCTTGAGCTCTGGAGTTTAAGGCCAGCCTGAGTAACACAGTGAGACACCCACCCCCAATCCCTAACTATTTGCCATCTACCAGGATGGCAAAAATCAAAAAATTTGATAACACAGTAGGAGGAAAAGTGTAAAGAAAAATATCATACAGCTTATTAAACTATAAATTAGTGCCATGTCAATTGATAGCAATTTGACTATATTAAAATGTAAAAGTGGACTGGGACTATAGCTCATTGGTAGAGTACTTGCCTATCAC